GATGTGCACAGTGGCAGGAGCCACCTGCCCCCCATGCACCTCCTGAACAAGCTGCTCGTGGCTGTCCTGTGCCCTGCCCTGGCTGCAGCTCCTGCCCCAGCCCCATTCCCTCCCTGTGACCCCCCACGCCTCTTCCTTCTCCCTAACAGACTTACTAGCCAGACGCTGCTCCCCAGGCTACCGATAGGCAATCAGATTGGTATCGGCCAATATGGCTCATTAATAATCGGCCATTGGTATTAACACAAAAAAACCTTGATATCCACGCACCCCTAATTAAATGTGTTCTTTGCAAACAGGGAAACTTTTTCAGAGAGTTTTAAGTGACTTCCCAAAGTTCGTATGGAAAGTTTCTTTTAGAGCCAGGACTAGAATCAACAGCTTCTGACTCCCTCTCTGATGTCTTGCTACAATCTGCTCCCTTCCTTTTCCTTCTGAAGAAATTCCTGGAACTACGTGCTCCCTAAAATCTGAAAGATCATCCCATTAAAATTTTCTGCTGATTGTCTGGATTTATTTCCTGGAATCAAATTCTTGCTTGTTTCATTGTTCTCATCCAGGCACTTGAGTTGGATAGCAGCAATGAGAAAGGTCTCTTTCGGCGTGGGGAAGCCCATCTGGCTGTCAATGACTTTGAATTGGCCCGAGCAGATTTCCAGAAGGTGATACAACTCTACCCAAGCAACAAAGCAGCCAAAGTGCAGCTAGTAACCTGTCAGCAGAAGATCCGGGAGCAGCATGAAAAAGAGAAAAAGATGTATGCCAACATGTTCCAGAGGCTTGCTGACAAGGACTCTAAGGTAACTGGTAGCACTATGCCAAACTGGGAGAGTGGAATGAGTGCATAGTGGGTTACAGCAGATATGTCCTGCAAGCAGATCTGCCACATGGAGCTGTGTCATCTAGCCCATGGGGCTCCTTGAGGGGCCAAAAACTAGGGGCCCAGCACCAAAATTCACCATATTCGTGTTGGGGATGCCAGCCCTCTGTTGGCATGGGGGAAAACAATGGCTGAATTAACTGCTGCAGCTCCCCGAGTCTGCTTATCCCAAGTCCACCATTCGGTTGAAGTCCAGCCCGTAAGAAGCCCTGGGGAGGCTGGATGAGATTGATACCCCTGAATAGATGCAACAGGAATCATGGTGTTTTGCAAGTCCACATTACTACCTCAGTGGATGCTAGGTACACCCCTTTGGTATCAGGTTTACTCTCTTGGAAAAAGGATCCCCCCCCTGCACTGACAGCTGTGTAGGATGCAAATGTTTCTTTTACAAGTTTTCATCATTCAGAGGGAAGTTGGGATAGGAATGTGGGCATACTGGTAGGCTGTTGCATGAAATGATTAAGCACAGACATAGCCTTATTTAAAACAAACTGCAAGAGAAGAAATGCAGTCAGCCATCAGAGTGCCTGTGGCTAAAATTCAGGAGATTCCTAGCTAACAACATTTATGTGTGTATGTGTACCCTGAAAGCCCTCATGCTTCATGCCAACAGAGTAAAGGGCAAAGCACAACAGACACCTTTGGCAGACGTTATGCTAAAGAAGCAATTAACTGGTCGGTCATGTCTTAAAATGTATCATGGCCACACATTCAAGCAATTAATGGCACAAAAAATGAAACCAGCCACAAAATCATTACACAAAAAATGTGTAATAATTTATGGCCGGTTTCAGCACAACCTTACAATGACAGTGTGGCTGGATGGACTGCACCAGGATTTGGATCAGGATCCCAGGCTCCCTCTGTCCTGGTAGGAAGGGTGCGGTTGTGGTCTGATCCCCAATCTAAAAATTGTGCCTTCCCCCATGCACATATAGAATGGTAGGAGGAGCAGTTGTTGGGATCACAGATGAGAAATCCCCCACCATTAACTGGATGTCCACAGAATCACAGAAAAATAGGGCTGGAAGGGACCTCAGCTTGTCAAAGTCCAACTCGGGGCAGGACACACTACATCTCATTTTTTCTCAACTGACTTAAGGAAGAAGTTTTGTATTGAGCCGTCCATTCAGAGTTTTAAACTTGTTTTTCTGTGGAAAGTTGTTAAATGGCTTTTCTAATAAGTTAGTGTTGGTACAGATTTTAACAGACCTTAACTTGGTAAACAGCTTGGTCTACTGGCAACCTGTCAATTTTTTTCTTCTGGAAGTCTGGATCTAGTATGTCCTCTAGGTTTCTGCCCACCTGGTGACAGGCTACACCAGCTGACCATGCCACTATAGCCTAAGGAAATCTCTTACTCCAGGAAAATTTTTTCTTTCCCCTTTTGAGCCTGCAAAGGAAGGGAAGCTTGGTTACACATTTACCTTCAGAGTATGTCTACCCAGCATTGGACCAGAATTCCAGGGGCCCTGGCCATGTCTTCCAGTAGCCAGTATGTGAGCACAGCCTGTCTACTTTGCAGAACACCTGCATTTACATCAGCCAGAATGGACAAGAAAACGAGTTTGGCTGAGATGAAGGGTGAAAAAGAGTTCTTCCAGAAGATATTTTCTCTTTCACTGCCTTCATGTGAGGCTTTGCAGCCCCAAACAGTGTCAGACAAACTCTGGTGTCAGAAACCGCACACAAAAGCATTAGGAAGTTGTGCTTACAGTACTGTCAGAAACTCCCATGTCCTGATTCCATGAGCTCCTTTGTTCTTTGGCACTGACTTCTCTGAAAGCCCCTCTATACAGTCTGGAGGACCAACCTGCAACAATATAGAGATACAAAAAGGTTTTCCGGGCACTTGAAATTGCAGCAGCCCACATGCAGAAAAAATGTTGCAATGTACTCTACCTGGACAGCTAGCTAGCAAGGAAAAAAACCCGTCATTGAGTCCCAGATATCATCTGATCTGTACTCAATTTATGCCAGAACATACACTTGAAAGTAAATGCTGAGTTTACCCCATTTCAGAGATTTATTCAGCAGAGCATTTCTGGAGTCCATGATGGCTATTGCTTGTTTATCTCTGGACAGGTTCTAAAACAACATTTGATCCTGGAACTGGAATTCAGTCTAGTACCAGAGAAAGAACATGTCTTCCCCCTGCCAGGTCTCGCGCATCTCTGGGCACAGCACACCACACTGTATTTCAGCACACACAGACACTTTTCAGTTCATGATGAGAGTACAAAAATTATATCTTTTGGGAAATCTCTTCAGGCTAGGGTTATCATGGGCAAACCAGTTTGTGACAAACAAAAGGAAGTATCTGATCATCTGCGCTAGGGAAGGCCAGAGCCAAGGTCTTGGTCTAACGCCTCTCCCATGAAGCTGGTGTCTTGCTGTACTTTATAATCTCTACAGGGCATGCTACAAGACCAGCTAAAGCCAACCAAAGCATATTAGTAGCTCTGATGTGGCCAGGATAATTTTGATTACTAGATGATCTGTCAGGTCTGTCTTCCTAGCAGCCAAGGGCCACATTGTTGAGGGTCATGGCTGTGGACTTTCCTGGCAGTACAGGTGGTGTAGCAACACACTGCTCCCTGAGGCAGAGGTAGGGAGAGGGAGCCTGGAGTCCCTGGCTGTAGCAACAGCTGGCACAACTGGGAAAGTGGTGACTGGGGGAGACCAGGGACTGCAAATTAAGCCCCAATCCCAGGCTCCCTCTGCACTAGCAAGAAGCAGGCTCCTGCAGTTCAGAGCCTCATACATCCCAGTTGAGGGACTCCCAGCCACAGAAGAGCCCCACACACCCCTGGAGCTGGAAGATCCTTGCTGTGGTGATCTCCTTGCTCTGTGGGTACAGGAAGGTTCTCCACAGGTTTCCCATGCCCCTAGAGCATAGGGATTGCCCCTGCCACGATCCCTAGGGTTGAGAGGTTTTTCACGAGGCATGGTGTTCCCCTGCGGCTGGGAACCCCATTACTTCACAGGGCTCCCAGGTGCAGGGGAGACCCTGCTACATGTGGAAATTAAAGCTTGATAACAACTAACTGTAAAGTTAGTACACATTTTCAAGGTCTATTGTTATAGCTGGTTGTACCTTTTTATTGTGTGATACCTATTTTGCACACATAGCTGGTGGTCTCCAGGTAATTGCACAACCTGTAAAATGTAGATTGGGCCTCAGAGCACAAGCACCAATAGCAGCTTTATTGGAAACATCCATCTTAGGCATCTATGAAATAACCAGGAGTTTTGCTTACAGTCACAAGCAGTACATGCAAGATGTAAGGGAATCTCTGAGGAGTCCAGATCAGATGCCAAATCCAGTAAAACTGCCTCAGTTACTGTTCCCTAGACATGGCCTGGTCCCACATACACTTTGGAGTGCCTTATGCAGAACGTACATATGAACACTCATTTGAAGGAGAATGAGGTATTGTACAGCTTGGAGTAATAGGATTTCTTGAGCTGTGACGTCCGATCGTCATTCCAAAATAGTTCATCTTCTCTGCACCCTGCCTTGGCAGTGACCCTGAGTGCATATAAACATTAGAGGGTGTTGGTTGTAGCCATGTAGGTCTAAGGACATAAGCAGACATGGTTCTTTGGGCAAAGGCGATATCTTTTATTACACCCAACTACATAATTGGAAAATTTGTTCTTTGTGCACTCTGGGGCACAAACACTCTTCTTCAGGCATAGGGAGAATCTGTTGGAGTCTGCTATAAACATTAGGGGTATTTATGGCAAAATTACTCAGTTCAGCACCTGAACCACATCATCATTACTAACAGCAGAATAACGAATTACCTGTAGGGTACCTGGACCATGCATGTTACAACTCCAGGTACCCTACAGGTAAATTACTTGTTGGCCAGGCAGCCGTAAGCTCCTCCTCATTTCCTAGCTGCCTGACAACGCAGCAAGGAATCAAGACATTGGGATTCAAGTTCTTGGAAATCTTAGCTGACTTTTAGGAAGCCCCAGATACAACAGGTAAAAGCACCAAATTAATGTTTGTAGAAGCAACTTGGTACTTGGAAAGGGGTAAATGTTTAAACTCTTTAAATTTCTCCCTTGTAGTCAGAAGCTGACACTCTCCAGACAAGTGGCAGCCATACCACAGATGCAGACATGAAAGACCAAGAACAGAATGGAGTTGAAGATAAATCAGAAGTTGACACAGAGGCATAAAAACAAACCTGGTTCCATTAGTTTTGTAAACTGAAGAATTTCCAGTGAATTAGACCTTTATTTTTCTATCTGGTTGGACAGCGGCTTCAGGGGAGCAGAGGCTGGGGCCACAGTGCCATGGTCGGTTACAGCTGTGCGTGTCTGTGGAGGAAGCTCGGTGGCTGCACGCATCTGGTATACTCTTAGGGACTTTATTTATTCATTCTGGCTCAGTTATTGTTGGAGGTTCTGTCCAGATTCCTTCCGTTTTGTTTAATTTCATTCTGCCATTGGTGTGTCTCTTTGTCCTCCATCCTATTCCAGCTCATTCTGATCCCAGGTTTTGCTTCCTAAACAGTTTCCTTGATTTTTACGTACTCCCCAGGCGTCCTCACATGAGACTTCAGAACAAATTGCTGCACCCAATTCTTCCGCCTCAGCCTTGCCCCTTGCTGTTTCCTCTGTTAAGCAGAGACCCCTCCCCCATGAGTAAGTGTTGTAACCTTCCTTGTATGCCTGTTCTTTGCACATTGCTGAAGGTGAAGACTGTGAAGTCAAAGCTTGAATAATAAAGCTCCAGATAAACTCCAAAAGGAATAATCCGTGTGTTTAAGCAGGAAGAAAATTTAATTCTTGCACTTTCCTGTAGGGATTTAGAGCTTCATGTTTATGCAGCTGCCAGTGTTATCTTAATGGCTGCTGGCTACACTGTTCCCTGCATTCACTGCTATAAAAAATTGCCTTTTCTCCTGCCCACCTTCTAGTTACCAGGTAAAAACTGAATTTGCTTATAATGCAAATTGTACACAACAGCTGGATGTCCAGTTGCAGCCATGCTGTAGGAGCAAAGAAAAGATCTGGCCAGTCCACACAAGGAGGGTAAAAAGTCTAAATAGACTTCCTTCATCCAGACACAAAGAAGATCTTCATTGGGAAGGAATTTAGGAAGACTCCTGTTCTTCCATGGGGAGAAACATAACAGGATGAAGCGAAATGGCATACAAGTGTAAAGCAGTGAAGAACAGCCCAAAATGGAGATTTTCAAGGGGCAAAAGGAAAAGAAATCTCACAGGGTCACTTGAACCCATATATACATGTTCTCAATATATATTTGTGTGTGTATGTGTATATATGTATGTATGTATATATACGCATACATATGGCAGCGGTTTTAAAACTGGGGCATTCACCCCTAGGTGGGCATGAAGGAACATTGTGGGGGGGGGGGG